TGTTTTTGATTTTTTTTCTCCAGATGAAGTAATCAGCACTCAATGATATGCTTGGCTATTTTGGCCTTAATTAATTGATCAGTATATAAGTGAAAATATAGCAAGTTGAGAAAGTAGAATTTTTCTTATGATACTGGATTTCATAATGTAAAAAAGTGGTCTACATAGTTCCTGAGGAAGCTTTATAAGCCGTGGTAGGGAGGGGAAACTAGAGTGCCAGGGGATCTAGCACACACAGTCATAAGCCACAGTGGGTTGTTGTGTCATGTGAAATTGGTTTTATCAAGGTGGCTTGAGTTTGGCTTATAACCCATTTTAATAAGGCATGATTTGTTGTAGGTGTTGTTTAACCCATGACTGGACAACATCATGGGTCAACCCCAATGGCAAGTGAGCCACTTGACAAAGCCAGCAAAAAAACTCCTTGCCACTCTTGCCAATGTACTCTCAGGCATTAATTACTGCCAGCTGACCCCAAACTGCCATTTGTGACTGTTCTGCAGGAGATCTCAACTTCGCTGTCCCCCTCTCCTTTGGCTCACATTGGGGTGCACATAAGGCACTTTGTCCCAAGTCTCTGGGGCTTAAGAAAGTGAAAATGTGCACATCCACCCACACTTTTAAAGGAATAAGGCAGCTTTGCCACCTAGCACCAAAACTCCAGGTCCTTTAAAAAGGGCATTTTGCCTGGAGGAAAGAAGATCTGGATTGGGGCATACATGGAGGCATGTCCACATCCCAGACCACCCATTTCCTACTCACCCCCTTTTAAGAGATCAAGAGTGTTGACATGCCTTACCCCTTTGGAAAAGGAGGTGCAGTTTTCTACTTTCCGGAGCACACAGAGGCTTGGGACAAAGCACAAATTGTGCACTAAAGGTGTAAGTTGAAAAAAAAGATGAGGCCCTTGCTATGAAGGGCATATAAGTCATGCAGAACAGCCAGAAGATCCCTCAGGTCACTGAATTCTTTTGACAACTCATCTTCTGCAAACTATCAAGGGAAGCCAAGAGGGACAGAGGAGAAGTGGATTTGGAGCCTTGGCTGGGGGAATGTCCAAGGTGCACCTACTGCCTCTTGGCAGCAGGTATTCCCCTGAACTTTGCCCCAAGGAAGGCTCCTGCAATGTCTCCTGAGATATCTGTGGGAAGCCCAAGGGGAGAAGAGGGAGAATGAGAAGTCCCACTACTCATGATGCACCCAATCATCTGTTGGGTGCACCAGAAGTAGGGTGGATTATTATGGTATGTGAACTCTCCCATTTCTAATAAAATACTGGAATTCCATTTATTATGTGACATGCATATGTTGCAACTACTGACTTCTGTTGTAACATACTGATGTGGTGCTATGTGATGCATATACACAGAAAAGTGATCCTCAGTTTTTTTGGGGGGACCTGCTAACGCCTTTCCTCTTGGACAACAAATCTAGAGTCCCCACACCTTTTCCTTTGTATTAAGTCTATTGCTCTACTGAAAATTTGAAGCAGCCAATCACTGTCCCCCTGGATCTCTCCATTCCCACCAGGGAGATGGTACCATCCACTTTGGGAATCACTGCATTAGCATTATTTATTTCCTCTGCAATTTGGCATGCATAAATTATTGCAGCTTAATTGTTTATTTACAGGTCTTCATATTACTTCCAAAGTTATTGAAAATTTCAGATGGTCCAGGTTCCTTAATTTTTGGTCTTGTTGAATCCTCCTTGAGGTGCCAGCATCTCTGCCCTCTGCAGCCATGCTGAGAGCAAAGGGGAAGCATCTGGTATGTAGGACAGAAAATAAATGGAAACAGCCTGGCCAAATGCAAGACAGACATCGAGGACGTCTCTGATGAAGAAACAGGGAAGGGAAGAATACATAAGTAACCACCACGGAGGTGTAGACCGTGGAAAGGAGAAGTAGAAGAAAGCAGAATCAGCCCGAAAGAAATGAACACAACCTAGAAAAGGTAAAAGAAACAGGAGACTATTAAAGGATAGGAGGTGAGTTGATATTTCCACCCTTCAGGGCACCTTGGAGGAATTAGACTCACACTATGGTCAGTTAGCATTTCCCCATTTTCTCTTCCACCCATATTTTGCCTGCCTCAACTAGGAAGGCAGCATTAATCTGTCTCCTCCAAGACATTTCTCCCTTTCCATAAGGCCTTTGATATGGAAGACTTAATCTACACAATCCCAGGCCTTTCTCTCCTACTCAATTTCTGAAGGCTTCATCTGGGAAATATGGAGGATTTATGTGCATCCTCTAAGAACATTGTTCTTATCAAACAGACTTCAGAATACATACAAGGAACATGGAAACCATCTAAGTATAATGCTATTTTTATGTTATGTTTTAAATTTGAAATATACAAAAACATTTCATGTAACTTGTAGTTCTCAAATGGTGGATGGTTGTGACCTGTGGTTTGGAGGAATTGAAACTTTGGTGGGCCCTGGAGATAGACTTTTGGACTGGTCTAGCAGATCCTTCATGGATCACTGCCTTGTCATGGCGAAGGGGCTTGCGTAGCTCAATGAAGCTATGAGCTATGCCATGCAGGGCCACCCAAGACGGCAGGTCATAGCAGAGAGCTTTGACAAAAAGTGATCCACTGGAGAAGGAAATGGCAACCCACTCCAGTATCTTTGCCATGAAAACCCCATGGACAGTACCAAAAGGCAAAAAGATATGACGCTGGAAGATGAGCCCCTCAGGTCGGAAGGTGTCCAATATGCTACAGGGGAAGAGCAGAGGGCTAGTACTAGTAGCGCCAGAAAGAATGAAGCGACTGGGTCAAAGCCGAAAGGACACTCAGTTGCAGATGTATCTGGTGGTGAAAGGAGAGTCTGATGCTGTAAAGATCTATACTGCATAGGAACCTGGAATGTAAGATCCATGAATCAAGGCAAGCTGGATGTGGTCAAACAAGAGATGACAAGGCTGAGCATCGACATCTTAGGAATCAGTGAACTAAAATGGACAGGAATGGGTGGATTTAATTCAGATGACCATCAGGTATACTACTGTGGGCAAGAATCCCTCAGAAGAAATGGAGTAGCTTTCATAGTCAATAAAAGAGTAGGAAAAGCAGTACTGAGATACAATCTCCAAAAGGACAGAATGATCTCAGTTCGAATCCAAGGCAAACCATTCAACATCACAATAGTCCAAGTCTATACCTCAACCACTGGTGCTGAAGAGGCTGAAGTTGACCGGTTCTATGAAGGCCTACAACACCTTCTAGAATTAACATCAAAAAATGATGTCCTTATCATCATGGGGGATTGGAATGCTAAAGCAGGAAGCCAAAAGATAACCAGAATAACAGGCAAGTTTGGCCTTGGAGTACAAAATGAAGCAGGGCACAAGCTGGTAGAATTTTGTCAAGAGAATACGATAGTCATAGCAAACACTCTTTTTCAACAAGCCAAGAGACGACTCTACACATGGACATCACCAGACAGTCAACACAAAAATCAGATTGACTATGTGCTCTGCAGCCAAAGATGGAGAAACTCTATACAGTCACTAAAAACTAGACCAGGAGCTGACTGGAGAGCGCAAACGTTGGCTTGAAACTCAGCATTAAGAAAACTAAGATCATGGCATCCAGTTCTCTCACTTCCTAGAAAATAGATAGGGAAGAAATGGAGGTAGTGACAGATTTTATTTTCTTGGGCTCCAAGTTCACTGCAGACCATCACTGCAGCTGAGAAATTAAAAGACGTTTGCTCCTGGGGAGGAAAACTATGGCAAATCTAGACAGCATACTAAAAAGCAGAGACATCACCCTGCCAACAAAGTGCGTATAGTCAAGGCTATGGTTTTCCAAGTTGCAATGTATAGCTGTGAAAGTTGGAGCATAAGGAAGGCTGAGCGCCAAAGAATGGAGGCCTTTGAATTGTGGTGCTGGTGGAGACTCCTGCGAGTCCCTTGGACAGCAAGGCGATCAAACCGGTCAGTCCTAGAGGAGATCAACCCTGACTGCTCTTTAGAAGGTCAGACGCTGAAGATGAAACTCAAATACTTTGGCCACCTAATGAGAAGGAAGCACTCCCTGGAGAAGAGCCTAATGCTGGGAACAATAGATGGCAAAAGAAGAAGGGGACGGCAGAGGATGAGGTGGCTAGATGGAGTCACTGAAGCAGTTGGTGTGAGCTTCAGTGGACTCTGGGGGATGGTGGAGGACAGGAAGGCCTGGAGGAAAGTTGTCCATGGGGTCGCGATGGGTCGGACACAACTTCGCGACTAACAACAACAACAGAGCTTTTCCTATTTTAAGAGTTCCAAACACTCTAATCATATGGACATTCTTTGATACAATTATAAAAATCATTACAGATGATAATTTTATAATCCCCTTTTGGGTGAGAAACCTAATTATGTTAAGTATAGCTAAAACACTGTTATTAATCCAAATGTAAACTTTTAATAAGATGTTTTACCAATCTGCATTTTTAATTTCAATATGGAAAATGTATTGAAATGAAACTTGAGATAAAATTTAGGAAGGCAGAAGCCAACTGCTCAGCTGTAGCAAGAATTTTAATCAGGTTATTCAGTGTTGATCGTCACTTCAGATTCATTTAGCAATTCATCAGAAAAGCAGCAGAGCTCCCCCCAGAGGGTACATTTTCCCTAGTCTTTGACAGAAGAGAACAGCTTTTTATTGTTACAACATCCACTGAGTTTAGAAAGTAAATTATATTGCTGTAAGGCGGCAATCCTATATAAACACTGAGAGGGAAGTACTAGGATTGAGCCCTACTGAACACAGCAGAGGTCTACAGTGTAAGAAACTGTCACTTTTTCTGGAGTATCTGTATAGTTACAAAACATCTTTCATGTAGAACTCTCCAGCTAGTCTTATTTGGTAAATTACATCACAAATTGGTATATGTGTAAACAGTTCAGGGAAATATGTCAAAATGTTAGCCAAGCATGTCAAACTGTTAAGTGTATTTTTCTAACACCTAGAGGCAGGGCATCTTCTGAAATAAGTACTTACATTTCTTCATGTCTTTTTGCAAGCTGAATGTCTTGTGCTAAATAGGATGCCATCTTCAGTTAGGTGAGTAATAACCCAGTTTTACCACACTATTAAAGAAAAGAAAAAGAAATAATATGGACATAGCTGTATTTAGAATCGTACATGGACTGGAAATTGACACTGGTAGTTGTAAGACTACATACTTATTATTATACTTATGACTATTTCTTTTCCTACATTACTATTGTTTTTGAATGTACATGGTTATGTACAATGCATATGTTACTAACCACTTCACAAAACAGGACCTACTGAATGACACTAGTAGCTGATGCAGCTTAGACACAAAGCTAACATGATATTACTGAACATGCTATAGTATTTCACCATAGACCTCATCTAATTGTACATCTAGTTCAGTATTGTCTAGTTTGGCAGATATTTTCCAGAGTCTCATATTCAGGTATTTCCCATCATTTGTTGACATTCATTTTACCTAACAAGGGATTGAACTTGAGACTGTCTGCATGTGCTCTCCTTATGTTATCTCCTTAGGCCATTCTGAAGTCACTGACCTAGTTTGCACATAATTTTTTGCATGCTATGAGTTGTTGAATTCTGGGTTTTACCGGAAATGAAGATCAAGATCATCCATGCTATTGTATGTATGAGTGTGAAGGCTGGAGAATGAAGAAAGCTGTCAGGAAAACATTGCTGGACTGAAACATGGTGCTGAAGGAGAGCTTAGTCAGTAGCCATGACCAAAAGAAAGTCAAACAAATGGGTCCTAGAGCACATCAAGCTAGAACTTGCCCTGGAAACAAAAACAATGAAACTGAAGCTATTGTACTTTGGGCACATCACAGGGGAGCAATACTGGAGAAGACAATAATGCTAGGGCAAGTTGGAGGCGGGAGTGGGAGAGGATGATGTAGAAGACCACCACCATCAAATGAGATGGATAGATTCCATAAAGGAAGCCACAGCTCAGCCCTTATAAACACAGAGCAGACCTGTCAGGGACAGGACATGGTGGAAAGCATTCATTCAAAGGGCGGAGATAAAGTCAGAAGCAACTTGACAGCATGTAACAATGATAACTGCAGCCACACTAACAAACTATGGTTTGGTACCCACAAACAACCCAAAGGAAAACTCATGGTTTGCTGTTGCATTGTTAACTCTGGATTGTTTAAATTATGGGCTGTGGTTATATGCAAACCCAGATGTATGGGCTCTTCGTGGCTTGTTTTGCTAGGCTACAGAGGCAGTGGGGAAGAGCTAAAACAACAATAGCAGCAGCAGATACTCCTCTACATGCTAGTACTACAATGTGAGGAAGGCGTTTGTGTAATAGAAAGCAAGCAGCAATTGTGGAGGGAAACAAGCAACCCAATGAATAAGAAAACAAACCATGTCCTATTCAATCACCTACTAAACAAGCCCTGGGTAGGGCAACAAACTGAGTTAAATAAACCATGGGCAATAACTATGGTATCATTACATGATCTCCTAAATTGGGGTTAAAGAGAAGAAAGTCAAGAGTTTCTGATTTTGCCAGTAGCTCACATTAAATTCAACTTAATTCCTTCTTTGCACATATAAACAGAGACTGAAACACATCTGCTTGAAGACAATCTCCACTTACCCTCTGCTTCCTAGCTTTTAATCCAATATCAAACAAAATAAGAAGCAAAGATAACAATACCCTTTAGAAAAATAAATAGCATAGGATTCCAAGATACTGATTTGAATTATGCTAAGTAACATACAAGTTCCTGAAAACTTTGAAACCAACATCGAACTCAGCTTTAGCAATTGCACATGGAATTGCTGTACTACCAAATCTGCAGCAGAGGAATGTGCAACACACAAGTATAATAAAGATTTGAATTAGAAGTGAAATTCGTGTGATTCAACTATAATTTCAAAATGTGCACTTAAAAAGGTAATATGACCAGTTACATCAGGTAGACTGGTGGGCACATGCATCCAGGCGTTCAGCTTATTCAAGCTAGGCAGCACAAGTATTTATATATGCATCAGATTTATCACAATTCCTAATGATACATGCGCAGAAGCTTCTTCTCCTATAAACAGTTCTTATTAGTTGGACTGCAGTGTAGCTACCCTTCACTAATAAAGGCAAATGCTCCTTGGACACAGTATGATTCTGTTTTAATTAGTCAAAGGGGTTTTCCATAATAAGGTTATCCTGAGATTCACTTATTCTAAGGAGCAGACAACCACAGAGACATTTCTCAAGCTAAAAAAAATAATGGTATTTTGCCTTCTTTGAAATGAATTTTGGAGAAGCATGTCAACATTACTTTGCTGCATGCCTGAATATGTTGAGTTCATTTGGGTGTGTACATGAGAGTGCCAATGTTAATGTCACACAAACACTGATTGGCCTAAAGCTATTCTGGTGCAAGTCATTCAACCCAGGAGCAGTTCAGGTAACTGTAGCTGAAGATTTTTTCTGTCCCCACATGCCTTCCCAAAGCATATAAGACAAAGATTTATCAGATTTTCAGGGACAGGTGCCTGGCTACTCTGGCACTAAATGTGGATGCTCAATTGCCTGCTCCCAAATAATCTTGCCAAAATGAGGCTGGAATCTCTTTTCACTGTGCTTACTCACATGAAGTGTATAGAGAAGTATTTCAGCAGTCATAACTTTTCCAGCTCTGGATTAGTTCAGCCTCTCTTCAAGCTTTATTTTCCCTCACTCACTACAAGCAACAAAACATTGACTTTGCTCCACACACTGAATAAGAAATGAGGGCATGGTAACGGTTCACTGTGGCAAATACCTCTCTCCCTGCCCAGACTAGGAAGGACTTCCCACATACCAGCTTTGACCTAACTAGTCTAGGATGCAAATTTTAAGTCCGTAGAGACTGAGAAAACAGTCAATTATTGATTGTTGTGAACTATCACTGTACTTCTCTCATTTGAGCTTTGCCCAGAAACGCTACAGATTTGATCCTCTTCTCTTACAAGATCTTTCACGCTCACCATTCAAACTTCCTGCCACATGATCCTTAGCAACTCTGCTGGTGCTAAGCTGGTATAGGTCTGCTCTGTGCTGGAATGAGAGACCACCTGGGATCCTATGTGCAACAATCAGGGTTCTATCACAGAAGGCAGGCTATAAATGCAATTTATATCGTACCCACATACAAATATCTGCTAAATCATGAATCCAATAACATGGATGAGAAATGTTTACCTGACAGCAGGGGTCACAAATATATTTTTGCTTCTGTTTGGTGGATAGCAACATCTCCACTTTTTGGAGAAACCCTGTTCACCATTTTACTTCGAATTGCTAGAGCTGCAGTTCTTCAGTTGGCATCCCCCATCCCACCTTCTGTTAAGCATCTGCCTGGTGGATGCACAGCCAGTTTCAGGTTTGGTGGGCCCTTTGCAGTGTCCTCCCTACCAAGCCATCCCTTGGGCCAGGAAGAGGCAAAGTTATCTATCAGTACAATGTAGGATATAGTGGCAAAGTCCGCTAACCACATGGTAGAGGAGATGGTGGCAAAACTGTTTGCCAGGCACCAGAGAAGTTCCCCTGGATGGCAGCAGCTCCATTCCCTTTGACTGGTGCTAGCAGAAGAAACAGTGCCTTGCCAGCAAGCACTGATGTAGGCACTCACCATTTTAATTGTCCCAGAGTCTCTCTAAAAGACAGCACAAACAGTCACTGCAGCAATCTGTTGGGACCTCAGAGACAGGGAGGGGGAATTAAAATGGCAGGCACCAGAAGTTGCAGGGGCCAGCAAAACTGACCTTTTTGCTGCTGGGCTGGTGTCTGCCTGCCTCAAGATACTGGGAATACCTCTCAGATGATTGGCAACTGCCTCATGGTGCCCATCTCTGATGCTGGTCTTTGGTGGATTAGTGCATTACCACTAAATATACTTCTGGAGAGAAGGCTCCTAGTACTAGCAAAGTGAAAAAGCACAGCTATTCTGTCTTTCCTTCAATAACAGGTTTTCTATAGTAGAAAAAAAATAGAGCAGCAGCAATGGGTAGACACAGAAGGGTTTGGGGTGCAAGGTATCATCCAAAGTACCCACCTACAAAAATCTACGAATTTTGCTGGCAATGGCATAATTTGGCAGGTGATGAGAGCCAGTGTGGTATAGCAGTTATGAATATGGGAACGAGACTCATAAGATCTAGATTGCAATCCCCATTCTACCAGAGCTAACTGGGTGACTTTAAGCTAGTCACAGACTCTCAGCTCAACCTACCTCACAAGGTTGTTGTGAGGATAAGATTAAGATGAGAATTATGTAAACTGCCCTGAGTTCCCTGAAAGGAAAAAAGGTGGGATAGAAATATAACAACATAAATAACACCTCACACAGAAACACCCTAAGGTGCCAAGTAATGTACAGCCTGAAATTTCATAAGATGCAACTGCAGTTTTTTTTTCTTCTTGAAACTGTTACCAGCAAACCGTAGGGCATTTTCCCCCAGTGGTGCTGTCATGGTTAAGACATTTTGAAGGGTCTTCGTTCATAGGGTCGTCATAGGCTGAAGTCGACTTGACAGCACGTAACGACATTTTTACTCCAAACAGTGAGAGGCTCTTGCCTGCTGAAACTGAAGGAGGGTACTGTTGCATTAGAAACAACTACAATAAGGAACCTTGCGAGCACAGCCTTCATTCACCTATCATTCCCTCATCCCCATTTCTCCCCCTTTTCTTTCAGTTCCTTTCAAAGACTGTGAGGAACGGACCCATTCGAAGGTCTATGCAAAAGCGCGGAGCAAAAGGAATTGTTAAAAGGAAGCCACGCAGAAGAGCCCTTCGAAGTAATGACGGCTGGTGGATGATACCACAGAGAGAAGAGCGGGGCAAGAAAGCGGGTGATACAGCCGGACCACTCTGTGATGTGGAAAAGCGGAGAGGTTGTAAGAATAGCAGGCCAGTGCACACTTCCGTATCAAAGGGCGCAATCCTATGCAAGTTTTAGCCAGAAGGCCTACAACTCCCAGCATGCCCCACCCTGGCTGGGGCAGCCGGAGTTTGTAAGCCTTCTTTTCCGCTTCGACTGGTATAGGATAGCACCTTAAGAAAACTATGTTTGTGCGTGATAGAAACTACCTCCATCTCACGACACTGCCACAGCTAGCAACACTTTAATCCGTTAGGGCCATTACGATAATCCACGAACACTCCGCCGGCGTTACCTTCCAGTGGGGGGGGGGGGGGGAGGAAAGGAAAGGAGAGCGAAGGCGGGAAGACTCTGATTGGCTCTCCCGCCTGGTAGGCGGTGTGAGTACAGCAGCGGACTGATCTTGCTTTTCTACTCCTGTGCCCTACTGCGCATGCTTGTTGCTATAATCGACCCTCCAAAACAAGGCGGGGCGTATAGTTTGAAGCTTAGGAAGAGAATCGTTAGGACGGGTAAAGGATTGGTCCAAGTTGAGAACAGGCAGGGGAGGTAGGGGTGATGGTGGTTGTTTTTCCTCGGGTTCTTTGTCCCCCCCCTTCTTCTTTGATAGACAATCCAGCACTTAAAATTCCCTGCTACGGAGTAAAGTTAGTGTGTTGTTGCGTCTTGTTCTGTCATATTTTAATGGTGTTTTATGGTCCATCTGTTTGAAGAATTTTCTAGGACAGAGGGTAGGGGTAAATGGCGATTTCTTCCAGTAGCGAGAGGTCACCAGTGGAGTCCCGCAGGACTCTGCATTAGTACCAAGGCTCTTCACTCTATTCTTAAATGATCTGGGATCGGGAGTAAGTAGTGAAGTGTCAAGTTTGCTGATGACACCAAGCTATTTATGATATTTAAAACCAAAATGGATTTGAGGAGCTCCAAAGGGATCTCTCCAAGTTGGGAGAATGGCCATCAAAATGAAAAATGCATTTCAATTTGAGCATGTGTAATATATGTCGGGGCAAAAAAATCTCATCTTCAAGTATACGCTGATGGGATCTGAGCTAGCAATGACTGAGCAAGAAAGGGATATGGAGCTATTGGTGGGCAGCACAATGAAAATGTTGACCCACTGCTCAGATGCTGCGAAGAAGGCAAACTCCATGCTAGGCATAAGTAGGAACAGAATAGATAACAGAACTGCCAAGATCTTACTTACACAAATCTAAGGTGCAACTTCACTTAAGAATATTGTGTTCAGATCTGATCACCTTACATGAAAAAGGACACTGAGTTGGGAAAAAGTACAGAGAAGGGCAACAGAACTGGTCAGCGGGCTGGAGCAACTCCCCAGTGAGGAGCAGCTATGACAAACTGGGACTGTTTAGCCCGGGAAAAGGCAAGTAAAGGGAGACATGAGAGACATGATGGAGGTGCTTAAAATAATGCATGGCGTGGAGAAAGTGGAGAGGGAGACATTTTTTCCCTCTCGCACAGCACTCCAACACGGACTCATTCCATGAAGCTGATGGTGGGAGGTTTAGGACAGATAAGAGGAAGTACTTCACACAGTATATAGTTAAACTATGGGATTTATTGCCATTGAAAGTGGTGATGGCCAACAATCTGCATTGCATCAAAAAGAGATTCGCTATCAGTGATTACTAGCCTTGCTGGCTGTGTGTGCTTCCTCCTTCGCGAGAGGAGGTGTGCCTGCATGCACCACTCGCTGAGGAGCATGGGCCAGTGGATGTCTTGCACCCATCCCATTTGAGTGACCTGGGGTGCACTTGGTTTGCCACTGGGTATATGGAACGCTGCACCGGAAGGACCTTTGGTCTGATCCTGCATGGCTTTTCTTATGTTCTTATGTATCAGTGGCACCTATTACTAAATGTTAAAGTGCATAATGCTTCGATTTTGGGTACTAGCCAGCCCATGTCCACTTCCAGAACTCCACATTTCTCACTTCCTCATGTTTTCCATTGTTTCCCCAGCAATCAGTTTATGTTTTCTGTTTGCTCGTTCTGTTCTTGTTTTGCCCCCCACCACCTCCATGATTTTTTGAGGGGGCGAGAGATAGTTTTGCAGTGTGGCTGTTCTCTAGAATAAGTTGTTTGTGGGTGGTAGTGTTTTGGCTATATACCTGTTTGAAAATTGAGTTTATTTTTAGTGTATACATTGATTGATTTGTATCTTGCCTTTTTAGCAAGAAAGTGGCATACAAGATAAGTTACAAACATAGGCAAACTTGTTTAAAACAAGAATAAAAGAAATGCGTTAAATAACAACATGAGAATAAAAACAGCACTGAACCCAGCAGAACTGCTTATACACCAGAGGCCTGCATGAATAAAAATGTGTCAGACTGCTGACAGGAGGACAGCCGAGCGGAAGCCAACCTTGCCTTCTGCTCTGCAACTAAATTATTTATTTCGCTTCATTTCTATACCACCCGTAGCTGAAGTTTTCTGGACAGTGTGCAACACTATATACATATATATATACACACGCACACACACACATATAATACAATAGATAAAAACAATACAATTAATATTTAAAATAATATTAAAGAACATTAAAAGATAATTAAAATACAGTTTAAAGCTGAGTAAAAGGCATCTGGCTAATCATACCAGGCCCCTGAATGACCAGAGAGGTCTTTAAAGGCCTCTGCAAAGAGAGCTATCTTAACCTAACACTGAAAAGAAGGCAAATGTGGTGCTAGGTTGGCTGCAGCAGGGAGGTTATTCCAAAGTTGAGAGGGCCACCACCAAAAAGGCCCTCCCCCTAGTTGGCACCCTCTGAGCCTGTTGATGGGTTGACACCCTGAGGAGAGCCCCAGAGGCTGAGTCTAGTGTCTTGGCAGATAGGGGTTGGAGGAGATGCCTGGCAGATAGAGTGGTCCCAAGCCATGTAGAGCTTTATAGGTTAAAACCAACACCTTGAATTGGGCCTGGCAGCATGTAGGCAGCCAATGCAAATGGGTTAGCACTGCTCTATATGTTTGGACCTCCAGGTCCTAGTTTTTAATCTGGCTGCCACGTTCTGCACTAGCTGCAGCTTCTGGACCATCTTCAAGGGCCACATAGAATGTGTTGCAGTAATCTAATCTAGAGATTACCAGAGCATAAATTACTGAGGCCAGGATCCCTCTGTCCAGGCTGGTAGAAGGCACTCTGAGCCATGGATGCCAGTTGAGTTCCAAGTGTCAAAGATGTATCAAGGAACACCCCCCAAACTGGTACATTCTGAATCTTGTTCTTTTGTGCGTGCTACCCTATATGTGCCAAAAACCACAACTTATTTATTTCCTCCACAAAATCCACTTGCTGTTTATAACTGTGTGTTAATGTGATGGTTGAAATCCACCAAGCAGTCCAGTGGGGCTGCCTATAATCCTCTGAACATGCAGAACAACGGGCAACCTATACAGAGCAAGAGGAACACAGAGGCAAAGGTATTCTTAAGCCCCCCTCTCCTGAAAAGCCAGCAGTAGACAGCCAAAAGCGGCTAACTGGTAAAAATACACAGCAGCCGGACAATTACCATTGTCACTGCTGTTCTTGTTCCACATGGGAATGTGTCTCTCCCAGAGGCTGCATCCTAAGCACCTGAGTTACCCAAGAAGTTACATCTGAGACCACAATGCCCAACTCAGGAATGCCTCACCAGTACTCTTAGTGGCATGATTGGAAATCCACTGGCCCTGATGACTGCCAAGAGTCCTCAGCTGCACCCAACCCATTCCCAACTTGGGAGGGGAGCAGCAGCGCACAGAGAAAGTGTCGAGGGAGGTGGCATGGGAATGGGCCTCTGCTGTCCCCATTCCTTCCCATGGGCATAGATTCTTGCCATGTTTGTCGATGGATCTGTGCAAACAAGACACACTAGAAGTCAGTGTTCCTCACTGGTGCTGCCCATTTCCTCTTCTTGACCATTCTACCACCAAGCCTGGGAGAACCTTCCAGCAGGCAGGGACTTTGGTAAGTGAAGGCATACCCCTGGGCAAGGTTAGACTGCTGGGAGCTGGGAGTGGTAGGCCTTTTTCCTGACAAATGTTGTATAAGATGCTAGAAATACATCATAGCATGAAAAATAATAATTAGATTGTTAAATTATTATTATTATTATTATTATTATTATAACATTTCTGTGCCGCCCCTTGCCGAAGCCTAAAATAGTCACACACAACCAGGAAACAATACTGTCTAAAGACTTAATTGGAAATTGACTGTCCTACCATAAGAGCTTGTCTACATCTTTATGTCTTTTGAAGAGAAATTGGTTAATTTTAACACTAGGTGGCACTTAAACACAACTAATGAAGTCAGAAATTGCTTTAAAATACAATAGCATGAAACAATAAAAGATTCTCATCCAACTCATTGTTAATTGTATTCTCCAAAAGATGTCATGGACTGATATTTTCAGATGTATACAAATAGTTACAGGGAAGTGGAATAAAATGTTTAAGTATGTAATGCATGATATATTATTTAGGCTTGTAATGTGGTACCTACCACTGCTCCTTTTATGGGAATAGTATTTTAGTTTGTCATTTTTACTAGCATTTAGCACAGTGCATTTTATTGTTATATCCTTTCATTTATCAATGCCAATTGATGCCATATGCCTCTTTAAAAGATGGGGCTTCTGAAATGTATATTGAGTACTGAGTCCCTTTGAACATAGGCAAAAGGATTTTTCTGCAATTTATTTCTTAAACTTTTACATATGCAACTAAAATATGCATACATATAACATATATGTTTTTACCTGTTTGCATCACATAACCTCCAGAATGGTCTGAGCACACTTGACTTTGCAGTATTGAAGACAGGAAGATTGAAATAGAATCATGGTCTTTATGGGAAGCTACTGAGCTGCTTTGTGCTTTCGTAAGGAGCTAGCATGTATCTTGTCTCTGGCTACTATTTCTCTACCCCTGCCCCCTAGCTGGGATTTTTCTGTTTCAATTTCTCTCTTCTAAGAAAGAAGCGCATATAAGTATGAGAAGTAAATTGTAGTATAGGCCCATTGACCTGGTTCAGGTATCACAACCAACTCTGAATGTTGTGATTAGGATGAGCTGCCATGAATTTTGGACTCAAAGCCTTCTCCCTCCCCTTTCAAGTGAGAAGGGAAAAAAGTTTAATGTTTCTCGTTTTGATCTGTGTCTTTTTCTACTCACAAATTTACAAACTGGACTCTGCAATCAGTTTGGCACTAACTATGACCAGAACAATCTATAGTTTCTTGTATGCATGTGTAATAGGAAATTGTGTTCAGAATTGTGATCAGAAGGCTTAAACCAGGGGTCCTCAAACTTTTTGAATAGGGGGCC